CTCGTGGGGGCCGGGTGTGCATCGTGGGTTGGGGTGTGTGTGTGTGTGTGTGTGTGTGTATGCGCGCCTGAGAGGGAGATGGTGTTCCTGGCACAAATAAAACATTCTGTTTTCATCTTTGAGCAAGTGGTTACACGATATGCAAGATTTTCACGACGAGATGTGTACCCTCGTGAGAGGACGAGCCTCTTTGTGTCTGCATTCATGCGCATGCAGGAGAACGCCTGTGTGAATGCTTTCATGTGTGGCCACTGAGGCAGACACACCGACATGAGAGAGGAGGAGACCGGCCTTTCAAACAAGATTAGGGCTGTGGCTGCCTACAGGCCTGCCTGATGACACTCTGCAGAGACTGGGTGACATCTATATAAAAAGCACGACTTTGGGAGGACTTGTCCTCAGAAAGATGTCAAGCTGCCTGACAATGTTAAAATGAGTTTAAGGAGTTTAGGAAAGTAATCTTTAACTGTGACCTCTTCTTAATTGTGGGGTACCTCAAGGCTCTGTTTTAGGCCCCATTATTATTTGCCATTTGTACAAACTAAAACAAAACTTTATAATCATTTGAATGTGCTGTTAAATTGAAAAAAAGAAATGTGTCCATTTATCAAGACAAACTTTGTTTTTTTTTTTAATGTGACACAAACTCATCCCATTATAACATCTTTCATGAGGGTTACTAAACTCATTATGTTGGTCCTCTACTGGCCTTGCACCTCCTATGCATTTTAAAATGTAGTTTAAATTATACAGCTTGTTTTTAAGAGTCTTAATGGTATGACACATTTCCAGTCAGAACCTGTACACCATTTACACTCCAGCCAAAACGTTGAGGTCTTCAAATCAGTTGCTTTTGAACATTTCTAGGTCCAGACTCAAAAACAGAGGTGTTAGAGTCTATTTGGGTGTAGTCCCAAATCTATCAAGCAGTTTATGCTAAAAATTAGAACTGCTCAGTCAATTAGTCATTTTAAATATATACTTAAAACCCATTTCTTTTCACTGGTTTTCAGGTAAGCAGAATATCTGTACATGATAATTTACATTTATTTAATTATCCCTTTGGTTTTCTTGATATGTTTGTTTTTAAATGTGCCACAGAAGTAATGACTTATCTGCACATCTAGCAGGGATCAGGTGTAACATCGGATACTCGATGATCCTGCAGGTGGTTGGTCAGATTGTTTTGTCTTTGTTTTCGGAGATTTGAGAGAAGTTTATTTGGCTCCTGTATTAAAGCACAGACAGATACCCCAGCAAGCCCATATCCTGTTTCCATTTGTGCAGAGAAACATATCTGGAGGCTACCGCCGTATTTTTGCAAATCAACTTGGCTAGCCGAGTTAAGTGGAGACAATCCAAAACTGCCAGTGAACATAACATCATTAACAAGAGGGGATGAAAACAAACATCGCTTCAGTACAAAAACAATTAGAAAATATAAAAACATTTTACCAAAACGGTCTCATAAATATAGTACAAGCTAAATAAATTATAAGTTGTGTTACAGAATTTAAGGCCTGTGTTTCTAATAATGTGGATGAGCAGAATTCTCTCTTGCTGCAGTGAAAAATGTCTAATTTTACTTGTTTGGTACTTACTAGAACAATAAAAAGTTGTCATCTCTGCTGTCAGAGTGAAGAAGAGAAGTGAGTTCACAGCCTGATGTGAAAGTCATCCTGTACACCTCGTATATATTGCCAATGTTTGAATAACTTAAGAGTTTTCTTGTATCTTGTCTCACACAAAAATGACATTTTTGGGAACTGTAACCATCAGAAATAAAAAGCAGAAATATAAATTAGGAGACTAAAATGGAAAATTTAAAAAATGGAAGGTTATGTCGAGCTACTCCTCTCCTCAGTGTCCAACGTTAGACCAGCAGGAGAAAAGAGAAGAAGAAAGGAGTCCGTGGGTGGACGCAGTGATCTACCCGGGGTTGTTTTTCTTCCTTTTATTTGGACTGGGATTGGGATCCAGTTTCAGCTCTCGGTACTGCACCTGTTAAAACACACACAGACACACACAAAAACCACCCGGTCAGGTGGAAAGTGCAAAGGATGCTTGAAAAGCACAGAGACCCTCCAGAGGCTCCGGTCCAGCTGTGTGGAACAGTGGCCTCAGGGAAGGGATTACACACTGATTACAACACACACACACGCACGGACACACAAAAGCACGAGTTACACTGTTCAAAGCTTCACATACACTCATGTTCACTCACAGAT